GGGGGTGTTCTGAGGGGGGGTTGGGAGCAGTGTGGAGGGGTGTTGGGAGATGGGGCAGTGTGAGGGGTGTTGAAGGCCATGTGGGAGGTGGGGACTGTGAGGTTGGTGGGAGGTGTGGGGGATGTTGGGAGCAGTGTGGAAGGGTGTTGGAAGGTAGGGCAGTGTGGGAGGTGGGGGCGGTGTAGAGGGGTGTTCGGAGGTGGGGGCAGTGTAGAGGGGTGTTGGAGGCAGTATGGGAGGTGGAGACTGGGGGGGTTTTGGGAGGTATGGTGCAGCGTCGGGGGTGTCTGTGTTGGGATGCTAAGCGCTAACACATGCATCTCTCGCATTATGTTGGCAAATCTATCACACATCCATCCTCTGTGCAGTGCATGTGGGGAGGAGAACTCACCTAGAGCTACCTGAAGGCACTAACTACACTGCACTTTATGGACAAGCTATATTTTATTCACAAAAGCAAAACAGCTTATAAAATACATCACTGCAACTATAATCTAGTCTCATTTTTTCTTCCCAAGAACCAGGATCTCAGCCTTCTCTTCCTAGCTTCGGTTTATGCTTGGTCCATTTTAGTCTTCAGGTCTCTGCTATTACCTACATACTGTGGCAGAAAAGCGGGGAAGGGAACAGACGTATCATTGCATATAGCAACAACAAATAAATAGAACAACCAGGCCAGACTCTTCAAAAGGGGATTTATGTTTGTTTGTTATGCTTATGCATTTCCTTAATGTGTATAGTTCAGCATTGGGAGCACAAACAGCTTTAACAAAATGCACTTGATCTAATACACTGCATGCCACTGATTATTTGTAAAAATATTCAAACACAACATAACATTATGAGGTTTATATTTTTCACCAATACAAATATAATTATGGATATTCCAGAACAGACGTTTAGAAAAACCTACGGCATAATGAGTAGACAGTATTTTGAAGAATAAACCGGTATGTATTGAAACTACACCACTTCTGACCAGCTTTCTCAGAGAATCTGTGTTTTATCCTCTTTCCTGAATTGTGCCTAACACAATAGGCTCCAACCCTGATTGGGGCCTTGGAGTACTTTTGTAATACAAGTAATAAATAAAATGTAAATGGTAAAGTGTGAGAGAGAGTGTGTGCTACATATTTGAAACTTACCTTCGATTGTCTGACAGGCTCAAGTCTTCTGATCTAGATTTAGATTTTTAAAAAATGAGAGAGAAGATTATTTAAAACGAATTAAATGCTTCACATAGTCTCGAAACTACAGAGCATATTCAGTACTGTCTCTTTAAAATTCCAGCAATTCAGAAGAGAATTTCTTGCTATCTAAAGTGAATTCTACTGACGAATACAGAGTTCCTCTAAAATACATTATTTTCCTGCAGGACAGGAAGACTTTCAAAGTGCAATTTCTGTAAAAAAAACCCCAACTTATTATGAAAATGCCATATATTGATTTTGGCCCCTGTCCTGCATCAGGTTCCGTTAGTGCAAATCCCTGTGCCCATGACTTACATGTAGCCTTGGCAGAATTACATTTTTATTTTTTTACAACTCTGATGGATAATATCAATGTTTACTTTTACCTATTTAAATGTTCAGAGTTGTGCAATATTATGAGTTTTAAGAATTTTTTTTCAATCTGTATTCATTTACATTTTCACAGTTGTAGAAAGTTATGGTGGAGGTCAGGCAATAATTATTTAATGACAGTAGACATTGAGATTCAACAAGTTAAAACTTTCTGACCATTAAAACAAAATGTCAACATCACATGTCAAAATAGCCATATTAAATACCTTTAAATCACAGTCTAAGAAGTTCTCAGTCATTTTCCTTTCTTTGCCTATGGGCAAATTTTGATTACCATTGATGGAAATTTTTGTTGCTGTTGTTTGGTGTGTGTTCGGTGAAACTGACATTTACTGACACCAATGAAAATCTAATCCTTCCAAGCCTATTTACATGGGACTGGAGACAGAGACACAGGCATAAGGGCCCAAGGTAGTAGATTGAGTCACAGTTTGGCTCCATCTTTCTAAAACTAATTTGCAGATCTCTCTTTCTTCATACAATTTAAATGCCCTTAGTTGGTCCCCGACACTGCTATTCACATTTCCACTTGTGGATTTTGGTTGCATTTCAAGTTTTTTAGTTTTCAACGGCATATGAAGCCACAGTTGTATGTATCTTAAATATTTAATTTTTCCTTTTTCCATTGTGATTTTCCCAAGTATTACTGAATTCAAGCCAATTTTCTTTAACTCCTTTTATACAGCTACAGGCCTGACTTTCTGAAATCAGTTTTTTCTGTTACTGTCCTTTCTACTGCAACAGCGTATTTAGCATGGTATGTCCATTATTGCCCAGCTCCATTTGTGTATGCTCACGAAATCGTCTCAGAAGTTTAAAAGCATACAGTTCCCAATGCACACCACTGACTGTCCATTCAACCATCTCATATTCATATGATTTTGCTCATGAACTCATCATCTCCACCACTGCCTAGAGAGATCCCAGTTCTGTAAATGAAGGCTTGGAATTAGTTAATTAGGTGAACAAAATTATTTACTCATCGGTTTGTGAGTCCTCCTCCTTTGAGCAGAATCTACTCAAATCATTCCATTTTACAATCATGATGATAAAACCAACAAGGACAGGCAGAAAGAGACAGAAACTTAGCAGCAGCCAATTCTTCAAAGTGTTTTGGGAAGCTCTTTCTAAGATCATATCTAGAAAGGAAAACACACAACAGATTTCACAAATCCAAGCTGCTCAACTCCCAGCATTCTGTGTCGTTTATAAGGGGAAAGAGAGAGAAAGTTATCTGAGATTATAAAAGCATACAGTCCTTTCTAGAATAAAATATTGTTTCCATTTGGTTAAAAAATGGAAATTGTGATAACTTTGTGTACAAGTTTACTCATTTCCTGAATCTCATTTATAGTCATGGCTTAATAATAAATGAGGGTTACTTACTGGAATGAAGTTCTCTGAATATATTGCCTCAACATACACAGTCTGTGGCATAAACATTTAGAGCAGTAAAATTATTGGGACCACATACAATCACCCTCAGGACCTAGCATTCAGAACTGAGGTTCTTCTTCGAGTGCTTGCTCATATCCATTCCATTAGGTGTGCGCGCGCCGCGTGCACGATT